ATGCCAAGAGAATGTAACGGTTGTGGCGGGAAAGATTGGGCAATTAGAGTTGAAAGGTTCAAGATTGAACAAGAACCTGGAGCTGTTTCAGTCCAAGGTCGAGAAATTCCAAGGAGAAACCGTCCTTCTCCATGTTTAAACGAATTTGTCTGTATAGAACCATTGGGATTTGTATGTGTTGGATTCAGATATGTTTCATCTCATAGAAAACAAAGACATGACAAAAGAGTTTATCTACATCCAATCCACCATTAAACACGATGGACCCGTATGTACAGTGTCGTACACAACATGAAACAAACGAGTTAAAACATGATTCAAAGGGCACAAACGTTATGGCTTATGCTGCTTCTCTATGTCATACAGTACACAAACATCTGCAGCCGTTTTCATCTGACACACGCGACCAATAAAACAAAAGGTAAGAACCAGAAACTGTCTACTATACAGGAGGGATTTTGATTAGTTGTGGATTACCTGAATCACATTGATGATCTGCTTGATCGACCAACCAAATATGCTCAAAGCCAAGAGTAAAGAGAGCGGTGAAATCTGCATCAATGATTCAACTACCACCTGAAAGATGAAAACATTTGGAGCCTGTGATTAGAGCGCAGAAGAGAAGCTAAAGAGATGAAAGGGGAAGAGAAGACAAGAGGAGCTCACGTTCATCAGGTTTTCGGTTTGGTTCTTTGCTATGAGAAGAAGGATTATATAAAGAACCTGTAGTCATTTGAGCAAACCCAAGTGTTATAAATATCGCCCCAAAGAAATGCAACGAAAAAGTTAGTCAGTTAGTAAGTTAAGATATCAACTGCAATCACCTCGCAGGAAACACAGCAATAACCCATGAACATCCGGTTTCCATAGTAGAGTCTAAACAGCCAGCTTGTGCTATCTTTCACATCCTTGTGGCTGGTTTTCCCTGATAGAAATGTACTGTGACTCGAGTGTCAAATTCCTGGTTTTGCTATGTACACAAGAACTATAAAATGGAGAGAGTGAAGAGTTTACAGTGCAGCAAAGAGTACCTGTACATTTGCAGCCAGTGACTAGCAATATCTAAAGCCAGCAATGACAGGAAAACCAAGCTAGGCCTGTATGTGAAAAACCAAGACTATGTTAAACATAGGTTAAGCATAAAATCAGACAAGTTCATCAACAGATATGTCAGCGGAAAGAAGTAGAGACTATCCACACCTGTATATTTGGGAGAGAATCACGAGAAGACAGGCTGTGCTGACTCTGTAACCACAAGCACACCCCAAATTGTGACAACAATGTTACATAAATTTATAAGAATATACAGGTTGAAGTGGAAAATTCACCTATCTGTAACCATGTCCAGAACAGCTCCAAACGTAGAAACTGAAAGGGGAAAAAGAAAAAGAGATGTATGTCACAGTCAAGTTCTATCGTTTTTGATACTGTATAACAACATTAAACTGTGTCTGGGACTATTATTCACAATACCCTACTGCATTGAAACTCAAAAGTAGCTACATGAAAGTCACATTCTTGATAATGTCAGGATCTTAAAGGAACCATAAACAATAATGAGTTGGTTGAAGCTAAAAATAAAAAGATGGGGACAATGATAAGAGCACCTTGGTTGAATTTACGAGCACACCATCCATCAACAGCATCACAACAAAAACTGGAAAACCACATTTGACCAAAGGCTAATCATATTAAACAACACAAGATCAAAGAAGAAGAAGAAGATCATGTTGGTACACACAAGGAGGATTCTCTCACCTGAAAAAGTACAAGAGCGAGAAGAGCGTCTTGTTGGAGAAGCACACAGCAAACGCAATACAGTTCAAGAGAACTCTCATGTACCCTGCCATTTTATCAAAAACCATATTCCTCCTTTGATCTCAAAAAGATGACATCTTTAAAACAACAAAACTAAGGAAGAAGCAAAAAAACCCACCAACAATATTCGGAATGTAAAGGTAGACCGAGAGCGTCGCCGGCCTCTGCTTCTTCGCTTTGGTAGCCATAAGAGACTTACGCGTTTGCAATCTAATACCCAGAAAACAAGATCTCAACAATGAACAATGCACCTACACGAGATAAAGGAACAAACTTTCTCAGAGCCCAACAAGGAAAATGCACAAAGACAGGAACCCATCTCCGGTAAATACGCCAGTAGGTCAAAATCGATTTTCAGACGTATTGTGCAAGTGGAAAGATTAAGAAATTCAAGTAGAAAATCGGAAATTCTCACCTGAATTGAATAAGAGTAACAGTGATGACAAAGAGGGAGAGATTGGCAACGAAGAGAAGAGCTTTGCAAACACCGAAACGAATCAGATTCGCCTCTTCTGTGAGGCAAACACCGATGGAACAAAGTTTCGTTTAATATTTATTATTCTCAATCTCGCCCCTTAACTTTGAATATTGTGAAATATTTTTTTGTAAACTGGATTTGACCCCTATTTGTTTCCGAGAACACACAGTTAACCCAAATTACACTAGTTTCGGCTAATTTTCTCTCAATCTCAACATTTTTACATATTAATAAATTAGTATCTTTACTTGGTAAGTAGCCAACAATACAGCTAAATCGATTTTTATTTTCTCTCCGTTAACTTAAGCACGGTTTACTGAAATTTGGAGACACTAATATAGGCTTTGTGATAAATCCAAAATTTCAATATTTGGTACAAGTGATGGAATCTGGATATTTGAATCACTCATGGGTCTAGAGAGACTTCAGTTCAGATAGTCTTCTTTGTAATCTGCAAATCCAAATTTAAATCGGAGTAGCATCATTAATCGTTGAATTTTTTTTGTGATGTTATGTTATTACCAAAAGTTCCTGTAAGAAAATGGTAAACTAGTGGGCCTAGATCCATTACAAGACGGCCCAACTAAAAAGTCAGGAGTCCAATAATAAACAAAGACTGGTCAAGGTCGGTACGTCGGTGTGAAATTAAGTGCGAGTCATCATCGATTATCCAAAAACATTAACTCTGTTTCCCATTCTTCAAAATGTTTTTTAAAAGAGTAAAAGCAGTAGAAAAATCCAACGCACAACTCTTGTCCCAATACCATCCATCACAAATGTAACGTAAACTATGACATAAAAACAGAGTTGTAAGCTTATTTGCAACATTTAATTTCAAATCTTTTTCGTAAACAATTTGAATTCAAGAAATGATTAAGCCAAGCCAATAAAGTAAAATAAGAAATTTGAAAACCGTTAACAAAAGAACAAAAATACTAATAAAAATGAAGAGAAAGAAGATTAGAGAAGGCAACTAATGGGACCAATGGAGAAAGGTGACACATCCATCATGCATCGCAATTCACTTAATTCTGAATTTATTAGATATTATTATTTTAATTCTCTTTATATACTCCCATTTCATCATTTACTTCTCTTTACTTCTCAACTTTCCCTTTGTCTCTTACTATACAGATTTCACTGTTATACTCTCTCTTCCTCCTAATTAAGGTTTCCTTTCTGATTCTTCTTGGTTCTTTCTTCTGTTTTTGGGAATAAAAAAGAAGATGGGTGTTCTTGATCATGTCTCTGAAATGTTTGATTGCTCTCATGGTCACAAGATTAAAAAGCGCAAACAGTTGCAGGTAATTTTGCTGTATTAAACCTGAGAGTAGATTTAGCTGAGAATTTTAGATCTTGATTTGGAAAAACAAAAACAAGATTTTGTTCAAAAGTTATGAGAAACCACTAGACTCTATGAGAAGTGAAGTTTTGAGTGAGATGTAATTGTTACTTTGTAGATCTCGTGAATTAGCTCCATAAATAGATCATTAGCACTCTTTAATTTTATGCTTTTAGCTTAATTACTTGTGTGCTTTTCTTAGTGTGAGATCATTTTTTTTTTATGTTTGTTGCTTATCTGGTGATTTAAAGAATTTCT